CATTTTAATTTTACCTCTATTAGGTGCATCAGTCCTCAAATGTATTGCCAATGATGGATTATTTAGTAAATTATGTCGGAGAGAGTAGATGAAGTGGTACTTGCTGATGTGATTTAGTTTACAAGTTTTAAATTCTTTGGTTATTTTGATTTGTTGGTCCAGTTAACATAAAATCATAGAAATTGTTGCCTGTTTGGAAAGTTGCTCCAATGTAAAATATTTAAAGGTCAAGACATCTTTTTTTGTTAAACATTGTTCTAGAAGAGATAAATAAAGCTGTGAGAATTCCCCAAGTCCATAATGTCTTTTGTATTAATAAAAGTGAGTGCACGACAAAAACCCATTTACTTTTCTATAGAACAGACAAGGGATGAATAACCATTAGAGGGAAACACAGGATGACAAACAGAACAATCTAATCTAATGATTAGTATTCATAGACCAACTTCCGCCCTCTGTTTCGACAAGTACATGATATTCCAATAATGAAACAGTTGAAAAAAATTACACAAAGGCTGGTTGAGTTTCCTCATTAAATATCAGAGGGACGTCATTAATCATGAGCTTCCAGTCTGAGGTCTAAACCTGAAACGACTTTAGTTACATTCAACACATTCTTCAACGTTTCAAAGCAAAATGCAGATTGGACCAGAAGTCAGAAGAATTCTGACGCGTTTCTCACGGATGAGTAGCCAGATGAAGTATTTTTTATGAGAAGTGCGCCGAAGAGAAACTGAGAAAAACGAGGCCGCATACCAAAGGAGTTACCTGACTGCTTCAATAAAAGAAAACAGGACTGGACCAAATCTGTCGCTTTTTATACCATCTTGTCCGAGAGCAACAAACACCTCGAAAGTATTAATGCGAGAAGTAAATGAGGCAACGGCTTAAACCAACAACTTCGGTGCACTTTAACACAACTGATACAAACTGGGGTGAATAAAATCTCATAAATGGAACATTTACAAACCGTTTTGGAATTTTATTTGATAATTGCAACATGGACACTTTAATTGTATCTTTGATGTAAAATAAATATTTGGCTAATTTCACCAGCAATCAAAGGTCCCGTACGAGGGACAGAGTACAAATACTTCCTTCTAACTAGCCGAAACAGAGCAACAATACGAGTACAAATAAAAACATAAGCCCCAGAAGTTTTCTAAGAGTTATGTTTATAGATTTTAGTTGTGATTTTAACTCAATGAAAACTCGTATTCTTTTAAAGAGGCCCATTGATCTTAATGTCAGCTCAGGCCTGGTCCTCTGGATCAGGGACTTCCTGTCATGTCGTCCACAGACGGTCTGTGGTGGTGGGAACACTTCTGATGTGCTCACGTAGAAGCACTGGTGGCCCTCAAGGTTGTGTTCTCTCTCCTGTGTTATTCGCTCTTTTTACAAACGAGTTTGTGATTAATGACCAGAGCTTTATTTTAATCAAATATGCTGATGACGTGGCTCTGACTGGACTACTAACTGAAAACAATCCCACAGGTGAAGCTTCTTATTTATTTAAGGCCCCGGAGACATGGTGCTGCCGGAGCACCGGGTAAGCTAGATATTAATGTAGCCAAGACGAAATAATTAATTACTGGGTATATGCCCTAAACAAGACTTTAAAGTGAAGCCAGTTTCACTCAATGGCCAACTTGATGAAACTGTGGAAAATTTTAAATATCTAGGGTCATTTCAGGACAGTCTGCTCATCTTTGCTGAAAACACTAAATATATATTCAAGAAATGCTCACAGATAATCTATCTTTTAAGAGGACTTAATGGTCCTGGGGTTAGTCAGTAAACTCTACTGTGTGTGTACAAGTAGGCCTGTCACAATAAATTTTGCTGGACGATTAATTGTCTCAGAAATTATTGCAATAAATGATAATATTGTTTGAAATTTGATGATAATTAGTAATTATTATCAAATTAAGTAGAAATGTTTAATTTGTTTTGTGTGTAGTACCTTTTTAGACCACCAGATGACAGTATAAAACTGTTTGAACCCGAAGGATGGATGGTGAGGGAGCAAACAGCGTGCCACTTTAAGAAAAATGGGAGGGAGACCCCTTGACGTGACATGGGCTGTCTCTCCTTCCTGTTTTTCAGTTCTCAAAATGGTGGATGCTCGGTGTGGTTTGAGCTCTTTAGCATAGCATTTTTTACACAAAGCTTTTAATTTAATAAAAAAAATAAACAAGTTCTCAGCTTCTTTTTGCAGAGAAAAACAACTTTTTACACGAACGCACGAGTTTCAACCGTGAATTTTTGGAGCTTCGACAAAACTGAGGTTTTCCCCAGGTTGGCCTGTTAGCTTAGCTCGTAGCTTAGCTTCTCAGCTTTGCTGCTTTTAACGATCCAAAAACGCAATTTTGGATCGTTAAAACAGATTTTAAAGAGACAAGAGAAAGGGAGAGGTCAGTGAAGAGCACCGGAGTTGAGATTTTTTGTCATCCAGTGTCTTCAGAAAGAGAGACACGAAGAAATGATAAAGCCGATAAATGAAAATGAGGTTGACATATTTCTTTTATTATGCGATTAATTGATTTGTTGTTTATCGCGACATGCCTATGTAAAAGGCAAACGTTGAGTGTTTTAACGTTTCACCTCCCTGCCTGGTATGATCATCTGAGATGAAGAATAAAAAAACAAACTTTTAAGACTTGTTTCAATGGCAGATAAACTAGTGGGGAAAGCACAAAAAGCTCTGTCTCAACTGTTTGCAGAAAGAACATGGAAGACGGCAAGGAATATTTTAGCAGATAGCATCCTTCCTCTTTCTCGTCAGTTTGAATGAGTTCAGGAAGGCGTTATAGAGTTCCTCTGGCAACCAAGAACATCGATAAGAAGTCATTTATTCATTCCCAGTGCAATAACCATCTTAGCCAAACCAAATGTTAACATTTACCTATGGTATGCAAAGTGTTTTATTCTATGCACAAATTGTTGATGTTCTGATTGATGAATGTATGAATGTGTTTTATTTTATGGTTGGAGAGCCGAAGGAAAATTTCCACCTTTGTGGACAATAAAGTTTTATCTTATCTCATCTTCGTGAATGTCCTTACATTTCTAACAATTGCTTTAGAAATGTGTTTGAAAATCAATAGAGCTTACTTTTTGACTTAACTCATCAATTAGAGTCGCGCAACAATACGTTTTCAAAAGTGCCGACTGGTGAGCAGTGAGACTGTCGGAAAGCTGAGCTCAGAATGGTATTTTCCCAGAAGCCTCTTCTGCTAAGTGAGAGACCATCCTATATAAATTGTGTTATTTCAGTATGTCTGAAGATCTTGTTGGATGCCCAGACCGTCTCAGCATGTTCCATCATGTGATGGAGCAATGGCTCTCCTCCAAGCTCCATCAAGAAGACCAAGCTGTTCATTCTCTCTCCAAGGCTGAGCCCGGACACCCTGAGGATCTCGTTCTTCCACACCTCATAGCATTGATGAATCAGTAAACTGGAGCTTTGCTTTTTGGATCAGCTCTTTCTTCACCACAGCGGACCGCAGAAACGCCCTCATTACTGAGCATGAGCGGTCTCTGAACAGCTTCTCCAGAGTTTATATCAAAGTTGCCATTTTCCACTGATAGCGAACTCTTTGAACTGAACTCGGCGTTGTGTTGTTTTGCTACACGTTGCATCAAACTGTACGTGTCTTCCTCCCGACATCTTTGCAGAGCACAGTTTAAAGTCGGCCTTACTTTTGCAGCCATCGTTCACTTTTTAATACCTCCACACAACTCGCACTGCTCCCCCTCTACCACCCGACTGCTCAACAGCCAGAAAGTGGTATCACAACACATTTATGAATACAAGTACAAGTACATGGTATCAGACAGACAATGTTACAGAGTAAGGGAATCTATGTTTTTAAAGTTGATAATCTTTATCATAAAACATGATGTTTTGCACAGTTCACAGGCTGTTTTGTCAACAAACCAGTGAGATGTCACTTAAATCTGCAGTTCAGTTGACGGAGCAGCTTTACTGTGTTTTTCCAACTATGTTAATGTTTTGGATCGCTCTCGTGTTGTAGTGTCATCTCATCCAGCATGGTGCTGGCTGGAGTTAGGGGGAAAAAAGACGACAAGCAACGAACCAACCCAAAACACACAAAATACAGCAACTTTAACAACATTCAACCAGTTCAGAGTCGCATTTAATCAAGTAAAACAAAGAAGTAGTAAATACTAGCACCGCTCTTCCAACTTCCAAATGAGCATGTGAACAGTTTATTGCAAAATCTGCAAAGACAGTTTTATAAACTAGTAATGTGTCAGTGTCGATTAGCTTTAACAGCAACTTTGAGGCCAAAACCATAAATACATTCTTTTAAACACTGTTCCCATTATGTCTGACTTTCATTCAGCCTAAAGATCCATTTCAGGGTCTATAGTCTCCTAATTGCAGGCATTTTCCTTCAAATTGTCTTGATTTAATTGTAGTTGTTAAAGAAAGGTGAGAAAAAAACTAATATAAAAAGCAAATCACTCTTGACAACACAGAGCCTCAGTAACGCAATGCAACATAAAAACAACCTTGAGCGCAAACGTGGGTGTATTCATGGTGCCTTCTTACCTGCTCGTTCAAACATGAATGGTATTTTATCAAAGGCCTGCCAAAGTAAAACATACATGCACGCGACTACAAACATACCTAAAACACAAAGCTCAAAGTTGGTAGTACTGATGACCTGCAGTCATCCGAGTGAATCTAGTATTCTGTTTCAGTACTATAAGGAAGACAGTTACAAACTGTCACACTTATTAGCACCGCAGCTGCCAACAACTGGTAAGATGCACCAACATAATGTAAATATGATAAAGTTGACATTTAGAGGCGTGTGTGGATGGATGACTCTAAGTGATGGCCAATTTGGCTGCTTATCTAAAGGCCAAGGCTGCTGGTGGCAGGAAAACAAGATCAGACTGTGCATGTGTGCGTGCGTGCATGTGTGCGTGCGTGCATGTGTGCGTGCGTGCATGTGATCTCCGCTCACCAAATAGATTGCTGGAGTGGCCTTGCTTGGAGACCGGTCTGAGCTCATTGGAACCCCACGCGTAGCGCCGATAGCCGTCCCACGCGTGCTTCATCATCTGGCAGGTGGAAGAACAGGAGGAGGGAGGGGAAATAAATAAATAATAGAGTTAATGTGGATGTGACAATGACAACCTTACTTTAGTTTAGAGGTTAATAATTCTCCATTCACAAGATTCAGTCCAGGTCTCAACATTTAAATCCTGCTATGAATTAAACAATACAGTGGTGCATTTCCAGTTTATTCATTTTTAGTTTATTAAACATTAAAGGTCGTGTCATGCTATGTAGCTAATTAGTACATAGAACATTTAACATCTCAGTCAAAGTTGTGGATTTAAATATTCAAGCTTTTCCCCCCAAATCGGGTCACAAAACAAGTGGCAAGCCCTGAACATTAAAATTAATTCCTCGTGGGTTTTCGCAGCTTGAACATGAGCAGAAATCAAAACAGGATAAATAAACATGCCAACATGTTCTAAAACAACATGGAACGTGAAGCAGATGGATTGGGACCATTTTCACAAAGGCCTCGAGCAAGCACAGCAAGAAACGTAACTCTCTCACTTTTTATTCACCTGAACCAACTAAAACTAAATGTCTAGATCAGAAATCTGAATGCCAAGAAGAGTAAACAACACGTCCAGTGAGGAGACCGACATGTCCAGTATTTGTAAGATGTGAAGACATTAATGACCGCAAATGGAGATTTGCTGAAACATTATTAAAAACATTATTGTCCAAGGTTAATCTTGAATTTATGGTGAATTAGCAACACATTTACTGTATTTTTCAGACTATAAGGCACACTTAAATCCTTCGGCAGTGAGCCTTATTATCAGGTGCGCCTTATGTATAAATTCTGGTTGTGCTTACTGACCTCGAACCGATTTTATATGGTTATTAGGCCTGTCACGATAACAAATTTTGCTGGGTGATTAATCGCCTCAGAAATTATTGCGATAAATGATAATATTGTTTGAAATTTAACAATGATTAATTGTCAAATTTTAGAAGAAATGTTGATTTGTTTGGGGTGTAGTACCTTTTTTGACCACCTGATGGTAGTATAAGACTAAACCAAAGGACGCATAGTTGAGCAGCGTGTCTTTTAAGGACAATGGGAGGGAGGGCCCTTGACATGACATGGGCAGTCATGGTGACATGGCGGACATTGGATGTGGTTTAAATTCTTTAGCATTGAATTTTTCACACAAAGCTTTTAATAAAAAAATCAGTAAACAATTTCTCAGAGGAAAAAACGTTTTACACGAAGTTACAGGTTTCAACCGTGAATTTTGGAGCTTCGACAAGACGGAGGTTTATTCCCAAGGTCGGCATGTTAGCTTAGCACGTAGCTTAGCTTCTCAGCTTAGCTGTTTTAACGATCCAAAAACGTGATTTTGGACGGTTAAAATGGATTTCAAAGAGAAAAGAGAAAGGGAGGAGTCGGTGAAAAACACCCGAGTTGAGCCGTGTCTTCAGTAGAAAGAGAGACACAAGTAACGGTAAAGCTGGTAAATGAAAATGGCGTTGATAATTTTCAATCATCATGCGATTAATTGATTTACTGTTTATTGCAACAGGCCTAAGGGTTATTGTGAATGAGTTGAATAAAGTTTGACTTATTTGACTGTTTTGTTTTGCTTAATGAGCCTTATAATCCGGTGCGCCTTATAATCTGAAAAATATGGTATATATTCCACCAAAATTCCAGCTCTTAAAATTTTTAACCTATATTTTTGTATATGGTTTGCAAAGCTGTGTTTTACGTTGTACACATTATTTTGTTGTCTACCTCTGTCTACATCGTACCCACCATGGCAGCTGCCCCCATGTTAATGATTTAGTCTACTAGAGAGACGAAGTCCTCTGGATGAGGGACAAAGCATTTCTCACTTAAATAAACTGGTCCAGATGACATGATTTAACCATTTTGTTGTCATCTACCTGGATTATTGAGCTTACAAACCTCTTTCTACTAGAGTATAATTCTGAAGAGAACATTTAGACCAGTATTTAATAAATATCAGTGTCTCCCCTACCATTATCCAAGGACAACGCCCCATCCTGCCAACAGAACCACCATGAAGATCATGGCATGTAAAAAAAAACGTCCATACATGCTCGCTTGTGGCCATTTCTGTGTGGCGGGGGGAGACGCCAAATGTCTCTTTTTCCTATCGTCATCCCCTGCTCCCACACCATGCCCCGACCTCCCCAACTTTTGTATCTAACGTAACTGTATTAAACATTGATGCGTTTGAACTATCATTAGCATATGTGACGTGTCCATGTGTCATCTATGTCCGTGTGTATCTAATCAATCCATTTGCTCTCTCTGAACAGCTGATTGGCTGGAAGTGGTTTAAAAGGATCAAGTTCCGCCTGCTGGATGAGCGAGGGAGGTCAGAGGAGAAGTTGTTCTGATGGTTGTTGGTTTTGCTCTCCTGCCTCGCTCCTGCTCCTGTCAGAGACACCTGTGGTTGCTGCACCTGTTGCTATTTTAGGGTTGAGCTGTGTGTTGTTGGGACTGGGAGTTACCGGCTTGGTTTAAGTTTACGGTTTTTGTTTGTAGGGTTAGACCCTGGATCACAAGGTGAGGGGGAGCGGCCTGAATCAGACGGTCAACTGCTGGCTGGTTTGGGGCTCCTCCCTTCCTTTTTTGTTTGTTTAGCCGGGGCTCCCAGTCTACATTTATGTTCAGATGATTAGTTGACAATTAAAGTTTTGTCTAAAACTATACAATCGTCTGGGCTTCATATATTGTGCATCCTGCCATTTACTCCTGGACTTATCAGGACCATAACAGCATACAGATACGTCCAACTTGAGTGCGACCAAACTCACGTTAGCAGAGAGGGTGCTGCCATGAGAGTGCGCTCAGCCTGTTTGAATCACTCTTTCGAGTAAACTCGTTGATTGTGCAGGTTTAGTTCTTGGAATAAAACTATTAACACTAAGAGAGGCTCATTTGAAACCGTATTAGAACTAACAAACAAGGTTTTGGTTATGTGTATGAGCTACGCTTGTCTATGTTTGAAACCATACAGTACTGTGAGAAATGTAATTGTAATAGATGTATTAAAGTTATATAGAGGTGAAAACATCCTTTCAGTGTCAACTTTTAAGTGTTGTAATACTGTAATCCCATTTTTACTTGTAAGCGTCACACTATGAGAGTTATGTTTGAATATTCGAATTTATGGACTTTCTTGTCACTAAAAATACTTGAACATTAAAAATCTCAGCCGGTAAAGTCTTTAAATTCAGCAATATGAGTCACTTAAATCTCATTTTATCTCAGTCAAATGCTGGCTGGAAGCATGACTGCAACATAAAAACTACTGGTAGTTCCTAACATGTCGGCAATCCTTTTTTAGTACTCCAATGTCTGTGTGTGTGTCTGCTGTGATAATCCAGGTTCCTCTAGATCACACATGTCAAACTCAAGGCCTGGGGGGCAAATGTGGCCCTTGTTGACATCTTATCTGGCCCTCGAGATGATATGTTACACGTAAAATACTTTTTTCACTTGAATTTTTTCAATAATCTTGCATTGTGATGTCCAAAGTGCAACAGAGAACGTCAAATGAGACCAATCAAACTTTTTTTGAGGAACCTGCAGCCAAGTAAAGACGTTGGGTATATAACTTGACTTAATGTAGATTCTGGAAATGGCCCTTAATTTGAAACAGGTTTTCATTTTGGCCCCCTTTTATAAGCGAGTTTGACACCCCTGCTCTAGATTAAGACACTAAATTCCATTATCCACCATCTTAAGACAGATCTGGTCTCGTCTTAAGTTAATTTTACTGTGACTAGAATTTATGGCTCCAAATCCAGCGGGTGAATATGGTCGACCAGAAACTCAATCAGCAGACCACACGTAGTCACACTTCCTGTTTCAGGCATACAGCTGCTGCACGTGTGTGTTAGATATACATTCAGTTACAACCAGCAGCACAGACATGTCTGTTATAACTGCTGACTCACTGTTACTTTGCTCTTTTAAAGGACAGGCGCTTGCTGAGAACAACAATAATTAAGGGTAATTATTTGTAATGACTGGTACAAATGGTCACAGCAAGCTGTAAACCAGTAGGTCAAGAGCCTGTTGGTCGGTGCGACTTGTTGCCACGGAAACCAGCACTAATATCGTAAATCCGTAAAGCTGTCAAACAAGACATCCATTTAGCCAGTCAATCAGGAAAACAAGCAGGAAATGTATTTTCTGTACAACTTCGCCTCGGAGCGCATAAATTAATACAAATAAAATCTGCCAACGTGAGATTTTATTTCTCTCTTTCTATTGAAGACACAAACGTCTCAACTCCGGTACTCTTCACTGACCCCTCTCTTTCTCTTTAAAAATCTGTTTTAACCGTCCAAAATTATGTTTTGGGATCGCTACAAGCAGCTAAGTTGAGAAGCTAAGCTACGAGCTAAGCTAACAGGCCGACCTCGGGAATAAACCTCCATCTTGTCGAAGCTCCAAAATTCACGGTTAAAATCCGTGCCTTCGTGTAAAAAGTTGTTTTTCTCTCCAAAAAGAAGCTGAGAACTTGTTTACTGATTTTGTGAAAAATGCTATGCTAAAGAGCTCAAACCACACCGAGCGGCCGCCATTTTGAGAACTGAATAAAAGGAAGGAGAGACAGCTCGTGTCACGTCAAGGGGCCTCCCTCTCATTTTCTTAAAGAGACACGCTGCTCTCTCTCTCTCACTATCCATCCTTCGGTTCAAACAGTCTTCTATTGCCATTCGGTGGTCAAAAAAAGGTACTACATTCAAAACAAATTAACCAACATTTCTTCTTAAATTTGCCTATAATTACTAATTATTGGCAAATTTCAAACAATATTATCGTTTATCACAATAATTTCTGAGACAATTAATCACCCAGCAATATTTGTTATCGTGACAGGCCTACTAGCTACCAAAATAATTGATGTAAAGTTTAAATGTTAGGCCTAAAATATTAACATTTTGTTTATCTGAAGAAGAAGCTATAATTTTTACGGCCCATGATCGTTTTTTAATTAATCAAAAACACCAA